TTAATTTTTTTTTTAGAATTATGTATTTATGTATACGACCAAGGTTTAAAAAATCGGACAGGACCAACCTATTTGACCGATTGGATCGAAAACTTATCAGTTGACCGGTACATTTTACTGGAACGAATTGGCTGTCGGCGAACTATTTAAAATCGATCAACGAATGGGTGATCGATCGAAATTGGCCAGAATCGGTCAAAACCGGCCGGCTGAACCGATTTGAACCAGTCCAGTTTAAACTTTAATATATTTACAGAATATTTCAGTATAAATAAACTATATTATTAAATATAATAGGTATATTTAAGTTCTTAGTTAGTTTAAGTATTTGAATATTTTACATTGACTAAATATTTAACTAACAAGATTTTTATGTATGATCTTTATTATATATGCTTAAAAATATTAATTAATTAATTTTATGTCTAACCAGTTCAATTACTAGTGAATCATTAAACCAATTATGTTAAAGTAGTATTTGGCTTGGTGTAATTTGTCCGTAGGAGTGTTGTTGTGAGACTTACTTTGATGTGACACATATTTAAATGTGAGATATATTTTAAAAAATGCTAAAATCTCGTTACGGAATAGTTTGGTAAATGTTTTTCACCATTAAATTCACTTGTAGATTATGTTGCGTAGATAATATCTACGGTAACAAACACTGATTGAACCATTCCATCAACATGATTGTAGTCTGTTCTCATATATTTTACCTGTTATGAAACAGATTTAATTAATGTTGGCTAGACATAAGTTTAAGATAAAAATAAAAGTATGACATCTTTTGCATTTTATTGATAAGAGCGAACAATTAGGTGATGCATCCTTTAATAAAATTTAAAGTATTTCATTCTATTACATTTGATTAGAAAAGAAAAAGAACGAAAAATTACGTGATGCAGACTTTGTACATGTTTCTATTTTATTTAACACGCAATTATTTAACAATGAATTTAACATGTTATGAGCATATTTGCTGGCTTGCTTGCGTCCATATACATATCATTTCTTATTTAATCATTTCAAACAACTTCTTTCTTATCGATCTGTCTTCATACCTAATCTTTTTTTATCTATTTTTCTAAGGCATTTTTTTTAAATAGTGATGGCACATTGGATTTTGAGCTTTTAAATACATAACAAAATGCTACGGTCCCGTTACGGAAACATTCTGTTGAAGTTTGTCACCGTTAGATCAACTATTCCCAAGGTTACATGATGATCTAACGATTACAAATTATGACGAAATGATTTCATAACGTGACCGTAAAGTATCCCATTCTATTCATGTCACGCTTTGAGGGTCTTAATATAGTTCCCCAAATATAACTAGATATATATAGTTCATTCAATATTTCATACTTCACATCCAAATTTCAAATTATTCCACATGCATAAAAAACAGGTGGCTAAATCACATCTCCCTCCGACGAACCCTTACCGGAAACCCTCCCGCCATACACGCAGTGAGCAGCGGAACGAAAACCGGCACCTCCTTACGAACCGGCTCCAGCTCAAACCTCCCGAGAATAGCCGCCACAAGACACTTCATTTGCACATACGCCATCTCCTTCCCGAGGCACACCCTGGGCCCTGCCTGAAAAACCGGGTACTCGTACGGGCTCACGTTTTTCCCTCCCATCCACCTCTCCGGCCTGAACTCCATTCGATCCTCCCCCCATATCCTCTCCATCCTCCCCATCCCGTATGGGAAGTAAGTCACTCGATCCCCTTTCCCCACCCGAGTCCCGTCCGGCAGCACATCCTTTTCCGCCGCGTGCTTCGAGTCCCACGCCACCGGCGGGTACAACCTCATCGACTCGCTTAGGCACGCCTTCACGTATTTCATCTTCTTCAGTTTCTCGTAATTATATTCTCCCGTTATCAGCTTCACCTCATCCACGACCCTTCGCTCGATTTCGCGGTGTCCCGTCAGCAGCCACAGCAGCCACGTCACCGCGGACGAGGTCGTGTCCCTCCCCGCCATCACGAAACTTATCATCATATCCCTCACCATCCTGTCCCCGAGCCCCGACCCGACAAATCTCGACAGGATATCGTTCCCACCTCTCGTCTTCCCGTCCCGTCTTGACCGCACGATATCTTCCACGCATCCTCGCACGGTCGATACTGCCTCCTTGAGCTCCCGTTCCCTCCCGACACCCAACATTCTCTTCACCT